AAATATAAATCAAGTTTAATTAATTAAAATTCAAAATTATAAGAATAACTAATCAAAAAAATTATATTAAAAATATATAAATCTCAAAATTAAAATATCAAAGTCAAAAATTTAAATCAAAATTAATATAATATTCTAATAAAAATTCAAAATTAATATTATATAATTAAAAAAATAAAATTAAGTAAGAAAAAGAATACTAGTATAATTAAAAAAATTGAAAAATTACTATTATTATGATAACAAGCTTTTTAATTATATTTTTCAAATAATTCAATTCAAAATTATTTATTTTAATTTGAGAAAGCAGATTCTTTTATATATTTTTCAAATATAAAAATTATTATAATATTATTAATTAATACTATTTAATATATAAATTGTAATTTTATATTAAGATTTTAATATTAATATTATTATAATAATATAAATTTCTTTAATTTCATAATTTTTTAAACTTGAAATTTTCAATCAATCAAATAATCTTTAGAAAATATATGTATTTGAATGATTTAATTGATATATCAATTATGAATTTAATCACAATTTATCAATATTTTTGCAATATTTTAGCAATATTTTAATTAATTCAAAAGTTAATAATAATTTATAAATGATTTATTAATAGTTTAGAAATACTTTAGAAATAGTTCAGAAATGAATTTTAATTATTTTTATTTATTATCTTTTCTTTATAGAATATTTATCTTTTCTTTTTATTTCATTTCATTATTTATATTATTATTTAGCTTATCATATATATTTTATTTCTTTATTTTATTTGTTTATTTATTGATTTTCTACTTCAAAACTTGTAATTATATACTAGAGTAACAAATAAGTTAAGAGTAGAATTTAGATAGAATTTGTAAAATCTCAAAGATGTATAAATATCTCTGCTCTCAAATATAAAATAAATATACTTGAATAATAATAATTTAATTATCTTTGAAAATATTTGAGTTATACTTATCTTATAATTTTTCTTCAATTATCTCTTCTATTATAATAGATTATATTCTGATTAATTACATATTTTTCTTGCCTGAAAAATATAGGTAGTGAATATCTTTTACTTAAAATAAGCCAAGTATATTTTATTTAATTTAGAAGATTCTTGTAAGCTTTCTCACATATAAAAACTTTTGATTTGTTTTGATATATATTCTTTGTTTGTTTAATAGTTGAAAAGATACTATTAGAAAGTTTAGTCAGTATACTAAATCTTTTATTTTAGTTATAATATTTATTATTTAGTTTTTAATATTTATTCTTAGTTTAGTTTTATGATTATAACTTCTCTTTATTTTATTTTATTTTTATCCTATATTGATATAATACTTATAAGTATTGGTACTAAAAAATCTTTAAAATAATTGTAATTCTCTTTATCTTTATAAATAATTTAGTCTTCACTCTTAAAACTTATTATAAATTATATTCCTAATAAAATCTATTTTTATAAATATAGTTTATAATATTGATATTTTGAAACTAAGATTTTATAATTAAGATTTTTTAGAAGTAAATATAAAAGAGATACTTTATAAATATATTAACTAATTAATTTTCAAAGTATTACTGAAAATAATTATATAGATAATATATTAATATTAATATTATATATTTGTGGTTAAAAAAATAAATCTTAAATTTAGAATAATAAAATAAATAGAAATAAGAAAAAGAGTAAAATATAATATTTAGAAAATAAATATAAGATTTAGAATATAGTAAATATATAAATATAATTAAATAATATAAATCATATAATAATTTATAAAAAGAAAGAAATAAAATTTCAGATAATCAAAGAAAAATTATTAAATTAAAGAAATTTATATTATTATAATAACATTATATTTAATATTTTAATTTATATAATTTTATTCTTATTTAATTATCTAGTTAAAATAAATTAAATAATAGTAAAATTATATAAAATAAATTAATATATATACTAAAAATAAAAAATTTATAAATTATTTAATGAACTTCTTCTATTAAGTTATATTAATTTGAAATAAGAAAAAGTAAAAATATAAAAATTTAAGTCTTTATTATTTAATATTATTAATTAAAATTTTATCAAAATATTTATTAAATATATAACTTATAAAACTCAAATATTTAGTAAACTTAAATAATAGATATTTAATAATTAAAAGAAGAAAAGAAAAGTTCTCAAAGATTTTTTTGCTGAAATTATTAATTAATTTATATTATAATAAATATTAATTATTTAAAATAATTTTCATTATTTATAAAAATATTTCAAATATAAAATTTATTATTAGAAAAATATAAATATATAGTTATATAACTTTATTTTATTATTAAATATAATATTATACACAACTTAAAGATTAGTTAAATTAAAAAATTGTAAATATAGTAATGAACAGAAGCAAATTAAATGATTTTTACAGTGCGTGATATTACTAAAATTCTAAATATCTTCTGTAAAGAAATTATAAAATTAAAAATGATTTAAGAAAGATGTAATTATAATAATATTATTAAAGATAGATATAGCACAAACTATAGATAGAAGATAAAGATCAAATATAAAATAATAATATTTAATTCAAACTAATAAGCTTAGTTATAATATATAACTTTAAAAAATAATTATTCTATTTTACTAAAATTAATTACAGTTATTCAAAATAAAGAGACAATAATATCAAAGTAAAACATAAGAATAATCAACACTTTAATAAGCATTAAATGAAATACAGAATCAAAAGTGATTCTTCAACTTTGTATAACTAAAGCAATAAAGACATCAATTTGTTCAGCAAAAAGAATTAAAGATATTGATTTTATTATGACACAAAGAAATAAAGCTGAAGAAATATTAGGTAAGAGTTAAAAATAATTTATTTTTATTTTATTTTTCAAACCACACAAAAGCTTATCTTTCTGTCTTGTGAAAGTGTTCTTTTATACATATTTACTTCATCAACTACTTTCTATTCTACAGCTATGTACTAATACAAAATTCATGGAGCGGTTGTACAAAGTATGAATGTACAAGAATTTTTCATGAAAGTGATATTGCTTCAAATAAACAAATATAAAAGTTATTCAAATTTCGCCATTTTTTTATGCTTTTCGTTTCTTTTGCGAGTCACAGTATCCTCTTACAGGTATCAGACATTCTGTATTTTTTTGCCGAAGTTATTAAAATTCTAATCTATGATGCCATAATATATATAATAGTTAAAGTAGTTATGATAATATTTTTATTATAATATTGTTTATTTCTAAGTTTTGAAATTATAAAAATATTATGTCGTGTATAGTTCAAAAATTGGTTGATTTTAATGCAATCTCTGATAAATTACATTATTATTAACTTACTTTATTAGTAAGAAGTCACGATATTAGATAAATTTTGTGTGGGAAATATTTTGGTATTTATAATTTATAATTATTTATGATAACCTAGTTTAAAAGATTCATTAATTACGATCGATTTGTTCATTAATATCTTTAATAGAAGTTTCATAAAATTTTATGAAAATATATTGAATAATTTGTTAATCTTATCGTTTTTGAAATTTAAGTGCTAATACGATTTACTCAGATAAACACGATTTTTGGTAAATTATTAAAACTATAATATTTCTCATCTTTATTTATATATAATATATATAATATGTAAGTAAATAAATGTTAAATAATATATAGATAAAACATATATGAATATTTTAATTAATCTGCTTTATACATAAAATTGTATTTAGTGAGTTCAGGTGATTAGGTATACAGAAATGGTTTAGAATGGGGTTACACACGCATATAAGCAAAATTTTTAATAGCATCTACTTAATGGATCTAAACTTTATTGCGACATTTTTGTCATAAACAAGAAAAATAAAATACATGTATATAAATAAATATTTTAATTAATCTGTGTTTGTTCATAAGATAATGTTCATGAATTCAGATTATTAGGTAGATACGAATATTCTATATAGAATGGATTTATACATACAAGCGATCAATCAAGCAAAGCCCTCAAGTCTTAATTTGTACTTATTCAACTAAACCTGTTGTTTCATCTCAATGAATTCGCAGCGATTATATTAAAAAATGGTTTGTCACAAAAAAGGAGGATGGGCAACTATGTTACATACAGACTTTTCCTTTAAAGTTATTGTGTTGAATAAACACTTTCTTATCCGATTTTCGGTCCCAAAAAAAGTGCTAACTGATAACTATGAGATTGATGAGCATTATGTTGATACTGATATAAGAAGACAAAACAATTTATTGAAATGTGATAAAATAACCAGTGTAGATTTTTAGTTAAGTTTGAATGCTTTTCATCTAGATTTATTTATATGAAAAGTTGAGAATCAAATTTATAATGAACGAAATAATAATTATATACAAAACCAATCACATTGCTTGGATAAAGCTGTAGTATTTACATGTATAATGCGCAAATCATACCGTAGATATACATATACAATGAAAACGTGCACTACCTTGTGTAAATCTAATCAGTGTAATGATAAATTGTTAAGGGCGTCGGCGCAACCATACTATTATAGAATAATAGATTAAAGCTAGACAAAATATGTTTTTATTATGCCAATTTTTTATATTTTCTTAAACGACGATTTCGGTTTTATCCATCAATAATATAGGAGTTAAGATACAAAAACTTAAAAGAATGAAAAAAGTAAACAAAATTAAGTAAACAAAATTGAGAAAACATGGATATTCAATTGTCATTGATTTAACTAAACCGATAATACACTTATTTCTTAAACACATAGACTTATTTATAAGTTTCCTTATAAAGATGAGAATATTTTTTTCTAAATCTCATTCATTCATTCATCATAAATCCTTCTTCATTTAAAAATTTATTAAAGTAACAAGTTTTTGTTCTAAAACTTTAACTTTGAGCGCAATTCGATAATCCGGTTTTCTGCGTCACATTTATCACGAAATTCATTATCAAAAGATTCAAATCTCGACAATTACATTACATATTCCGAATTCACTGAAACAAAATTAATGTCGCCGGAAGAAGGATCAAAATATGAAGATTGGCCTACCTTCAAACGCGATTTTTGTAAATCAGCTGGAAGAGTTATATTCGAATTAATTTCAGGTTGCCTAAAGTTATTTAAATTTGATGAATCTTCAATAGTTGAATTTGGATTTTCTTTATGATGGATCCAATTAGGAAGAGCATGACCAGATGCTGCGTTTGATACATCTTGTAGGAACATTGCGGAAGAGGTCATACATGTATTCACAAAGAAAGATTTTCAAAATTTCGAATTGATCTTTGGAATCAAGACTTTCATTCATTTCGTCATTTAAAAATGGTATCTGCTCATATGATGCCACTCTTTTACTATTTATCCATGCTGTCTGCGTTTCTGAATCATTCTTTCATAAAAATTCTTGCGGATGCTGCAATATACAGTATACATACGTGTTACGGGCATATTCTGGTTGATTGTCCCATGAAGCCTTGCACATAAAAGAAAGTTGAGGATGACTCATGCTGCAATCGCCAATAACACGAAACACGAAGTTCGCGACAGACATCCATGGGAAATGCGATAAATGCATTAGGAATTCTGGATATTTTTCCACTTTTTTCAAGTCTTGCGCCTGACTTCATGATTAGATCCTGAGAGGTAACTTTAGGCGGATAGGGGATTATAGAAAGAATTGTGCTAATATCAATGTTTTTCTGATTTGAAGTTTACATTTTTAAAAAGATGTATTCGTTAGATTTTTGTATCCAGTGTTTACATTTATCGAATTACATGTACTGTATATAACATTATTTGGTTCCTGAAAGCAAAAAAGAAATTGAGGAGATTCAAACGCCGATTTTATATCATTTTCCCTAAATCCTATGATGTTCTGCAGTGTATCCAAAACTGTGTTCTTGTAAATGGACTAAGAAAGACAAGGTTCTGCATTCAAACCAGCTTGCGTCAGTTTCGGTCAACAATCAAATATTTTTGGTAGAAAGAATTCTCAAATATGATGCATATTTTTATTCAGGTTACAGTCGCATCTCTCTATAAGAACAATTCGGAAAATCCGGTTCTTCTAGAGAATTGGTTCTTAATTTCCTATTATTATAGAGGTTGTTCTTTTACAGAGTATTTCTTATAGAGAGGTGCTGAATTTAAAATTTAGATCCAATTCTCAGGAGAAAATAGTCCTAAAAAAAGATGTGTCCCTTTGGTTTTAATAAATGCTCTAAAGATATGGTGTCAAAAAGTTTTGTCCGAGCAAGTTGCATTTAGAGAGGTCTGACTGTATTTTGTAAAAAGATTCAAAATTTCAATTCACTATTTATCCAAAAACGTAAATTCATTGTATATTCTAAATTTCGCAACAAATAATTATTAATATTTATTTATTGAAAGGTATTAAATATGGAATAACAAATTTCTATTATATTGTAATACAAAATTGACATCATGCGCCACAAATTAAATTTTGCGTTTCGAATTCCTTTCAAGATTAACAGACAAGGCTTTAGAAACTATGACGTAGAACATACCGTATGCAGGCAAAAAGTCTATGCTCATGCCTTTTACTATTACTATATCATGTATATGAATCTGTTATTCGTATTACTACGAAGCACATGTGCATTTAGATGTACGTACAGTCCATTGTTTTTTTTAGTATTTCTTCTTTTACTTTTAAACATACACTAGGTGAAATTTTTTAGGTGTATATATGATACCTGAAGCCATCTTTGACAAGGATAAAAATAGTAGTTTTTATGAAGTTATGAGTGCCAAACAAGCTGCAAGAAAAATGTGACAGAACCAAGTAAGTGTATAATGGTCTCATGCCAAGTACAAAAGAAATAGGAAAAACAAAAATTTACCACTATCTGAGAGACCATAAGCTCATAACCATCAAGGAAAAAATGCATATATACAAGAAACTAAAAAAGACATCCTGAGCTATTTCATGACATTGATAATAAAAAAATCTGTGCAAAAACTTACCTGAAGATTCGCTAAGGTAATTTGATCCCTTTTCATAATATAATTTGTTCATTGATTTGAGAGAACATGATGTTTCAAAGTAAATAAAACTTAATTTACATTAGGGAAAGAAGCCATGAATAGAATCAATAGAGAAATTAATGAATATTGTGTTCTCATGACCTAAACTTCATAAAAGTGTCTCCAGGCCATTGGGGAACCATATTCTAAAGTGTAAAAGCTTCCCAAGGATCGATCGCGAAAAAGCTCATGACTATTCTGAAGGAAATTCGATATGTTGACTTTTTAGGAGGTTGTAGGCTCAATGCCTTGAGAAATCAAAGCGAGATTAGAGCCATATGAAGAGCTAATAATGTATTAGCTAGTGATAAGGCGACTGTACTGTACATCAAGCCATGATTCTTGCCCGCATTAATTTTTGCATTTTAGATAAATGTAAATGTATAAATAAACAAATTTATTGAGAACTAGTTTTAATTATGTACTGCAATTAAAACTCAATTTAGCCAGTAGCTAATTAATATCTAACTTTATTTTGTTTATTTAATTTACTTTTTTCCATCTAGCATAATGCTAATTGAAATTGATTTTGATTTGTGAGCTGACAACTATTAAAAGGTGATTTTACCATTATGATTAGAGGTAAAGTTAGAACTAAAGAAGAACTATATTTAATGCCATTTTTACTGGTGCTCCAAGCTGGAACTTGATATAATTTTCGAATTTTGTCATTCATTTTTTGCGCCGAATTTGTTTTGCCAGTATGATTAAAAAATTCGTGATACTTTGCCGTATATCTAGCTTCAACGAGAAATAAAAAATTAGAACTTATTAAAGTAAACAATGTTCCAATTAAGCGAAATGATAATTTTCTTAATCTTAAACCCAAATTAATGATGTGCTCAAAATCAAATGTCAATCAGGATATCTCCCAAATCAAGATCCCAACCAATTATAAACAATCTCTTCCCTTACTCTATCTAGTTCTGGTCATACCTATATTCTAACTTAGGCTAATTGTAATTTGGGACAATTGTGATTTGAGGCACAACATATATATTAGCCTAAATCAAGAACAAGAATTAAGTTCAAATAAACTTTTTGCTTCTATTGTTATCAATCTCAGTTTATTGCTTTTACCAGAAACAAGCCAGTGCTATAAGATTTGTCTTGAAAATAAAAGTCCAGCTGTATTCGTGAGAATCTCAATCGATATTCCACTTCGTGTCTCTAGGGAATTCCAGTCGCTACATTGAACATTATTATTATGGTATTTTTATAATCTTTCCATTCAATTTAGATTTCTATATGTTCATAATCCATTTTGCTTTCAACTAATCTCCAAACCAACTTATAATCAACGCTCACTCTTACCATCAATAGCAATCGTAATTACTGGCACAAATTCCTTTAGAAGCACATCAATATCCTCAGTATGTTAACTCATCCTATTTTTGAGCTTCAATATCTAGCTTGTTAAAATTGTCAGTATTTGACAGTTATATTCATCTAAGCTTAATCAGAATTAATGTAAATTTGAAAGTAAATAATTTTTTGTATTCACAATTGCGCATATTATTTCTGAATGTTAATTAAAGAATTTGTTGTTTAAGAATTTTTCAAAAATTTACGTCATAAATCCATAAATTAAACAATCAGATCAGAATATGTCATAACGCCAAAAATAGATATCAACATCATCATGATATATTGCTCGGAATCTATTGTCATGGAAACATTGATTACGTAAAATAATTCTACAATAATATATATAATCAACTAGCTTTGTAAATTTTTTTCTAAGCTGTTGCTTTTTATTTACCCACTTAAGAATAAAAAACCTCAACTTTTATCAAACTAAAAACTCAAAATGTCTACCGCCAGTAACGCTACTTCCTCTAACATAATAAACTACAAAGCTTTTCTCGAATATCCTTCTGCACTTGAAGAAGCTAACAAGACGTACAAACAAATAACATACAACTTCCATAACCGAATATTACATCCTAAAGTTAATCAACCCAATAAAGAGAACTATGTGGTTTGTGTTTGTGTTTGTGAATACCAGCCAGGTAAAATTTTTGTTTAATTTGTTAAAAGTACACGGTACGTGGGACACAAAAGCAGTCATAACTCTGCTTGACTTACGCTGATCATCTAAACCGTGCTTAAAAATTGGCAACAACGAGATATAATGTCTAGTTCTGCTATCATTTTGGCTTATCTTCGTTAAGATTATAAAGTTTTGTTCGTTTGTGGATAAAACTCATAAAACTAATCTTGAAAGAAAAATTTCTAACCAATTTTTTGCTTGCTTTTTTAATAAAGACAATCCAATCGACGATGCATGTGGTTCAGAATGCATTGATCATGTATTATTCATCGAGAGCATAAGCGATTGTCTTATTAGTGATTACTGTAAGAATCGAAGGTAAGCTTATATTTTTATAAAAGTTTCACCAAATATAATTCAACATAAGTTATCAAACTTTTAATTGTCTATTTATTTTAGATTTCAGCAAGCTGAGTATGCTAACGTAGATATATTCAAGTCGAAGTCTAAAGGTTATGGATTACGAGCTATGACACCCATTAAAAAGTAAATACATGGTCTTTTTTAATTTACAATCAATCATTTTTATATATTCACCTTTTTCTCTAATTTTTTCTACATTTGTTATCTATAGAAATTCATTCATAATCGAATATACCGGCGAAATTGTTCCGAAAAACGTCTTTTACCAGCAACAGGCAGACTATGCAAAAGAAGGGATCGAGCATTTTTATTTCATGAGTTTGACAAATGGAGAGGTAACTTTTTCAAGTACTTTTTCCATTGTATATTTGATGTCCTACTAATTTCAAAGGTTATATCTTAATCTTTATGAATAGCTTATCGACGCAACTAAGAAAGAATGTATAGCAAGATTTATGAATTATTCTTGTAACCCAAACTGCTTTATCCAGAAGTGGATTGTTAATAAAAGAACTCGCATTGAGATCTTCGCACTTCACGATATCATATTAGGAGAAGAACTTACATTTGATTATAATACAGATAGGAAGGGGTAAATTTTGTTCTATTACTCCAAAAAAATGATTTGAATTTTAGTGGATTTGAGGATTTCTGTCATCTATAAATTGATTCTCAATCCTCAGGTTAGATTTAATTAATGTTATGGTATATTATTATAATTTCGATTAGAATGGCCGCTAAAAAATGTTACTATAACGAAGAGAATTGCTACGGATACCTTGGTGACCAAAAAGGATCTGATGAGGATGAAATCATCTCGATCAAAGATCCAGAAGATATTTCTGAGTTTATAAGAATGATGATTCATACACTGCATAGTCGTGATGAAGTACTTGGTATACTATATCATCTTGAGGTATGATATTTTTTCTTATAGTTACTTCTTAATATAAAATTACGAATCAAACAATAAATCTTTGTTTTTTGATTAGATCGCGGATGATACTGCCGTTTTCAGCAAGCTAAACCATCTTCATGGGTTACTTGTTTTAAAAACTTACCTAATCGAATGGAGAAAGGATGATGAGATAGTTGTGAAGGTATGTTTTTATTATTTAAAAATTACAAGATAAATAATAAGATTATATTTTAATTACTTTTCAATAAATTTTATTAGACTTTCGAAGTGTTGCTAAAGCTACCAATTTTGGCTCGAAATACTATAACTGACGCTAAAATTGAAGAGAAAATGGAGATATTCAAAGAACGTTCTCCACGGATAAAGGAGTTGGTCAATGCTGTGAGCATTTTTCTATAATTTATATTTGTTTTCTTTAATTTGTTGTAGTAAACTATTTTTCATTTTGTAGCTCCTGGAGAAACGGGGAAGTCTGACTGTTTTATGCAGATGTCCAAAAAATAACGTAAATACATTGTTAACAAGAAATCTATTTATTTTTAATATTTGAACCTTTTACCGATAATAAATCTTAACATTAGAAAGAGCAACTCGAACAAGAACAGAGACCCTTGGAAGAAGAGCATAAAGCAAAAGAACTAGAGGAAGAAAAACGAATAAAAAACGAAAAAAGAGAACTTGAGGGAGAAACACAAGCCCTGAGAAGAAATTTTTACTATAATCGCAGTCACCATTTTTCAAAACCTTGCACACACTACACTCCATATCATAACAGCTGTAGTCATCATCCTAATAACAATAATGATCAAGAACGAAGACCAAAATATGAATCTAGTTGTGACCTTTATGATTCATACAAACCATTTTCAACTTATTCATGTCAGCCATCGTATAATGGACCGACAGACACATCTACAGATCGATATCGTCCTACTTCACAGCTAGTCGCGCGTCATCAACAAAAAAGTCCAAATAAAAGTGAAAGTTTAGTTACGATAACAATAACTAATAACAATAAAGTAACAACAGCACAAATAAATTTGGCTACACTACAGCCAACATTGTCATTACCTGATCCCGCCTTATTACCACAAATTCCAAAAAATATCAAATCAGGTTCATTACCGCCGAATTGGTGCAAAGTTGTTGGTGATGGTCAAATCTACTATTTTAATGTGATCACCAACACGACGCAGTGGGAGAGGCCAGTTGTGGAGGATCAATGGACACTCGAGGGGTATAGTGTCGCATTGATCGACGCGTGCTCTGGCTTCACAGCAAATTGTTGCAGAGCCAGAGCCACAAGCTGGGGCGAAGAAGGAACCAGCGGCTGCAATGAGCGAAGAGGAGTTTAAAGAGAAGGTAAAAATTTTTTCGCATGTAATATTTATTAGGTTTTTAATTACATGCTTTTTGCATTTTTAAAATAGCTGCAAAAGTTGGTGATCGATCGTTGCAGCCGCTGGAAGGGAGAGTTTACGGTGGCGGAATTCAAGAAACACGCCAGGATGGTGAGTGAAGTTTTGTTAATCATTATTATGAGCAATTGCAAAAAGATTGATCCACCAATATAAAAATTAATAATTACTTCTAATAAAAATCATTCAAATTTTAACTAATCTTTATAATTTTTTATATTAAATAAAAATTATCTAGATTTACTTTTTATACTATTTTAATTGTTCTATTATATTATTAATTTAATAATAAATGAAGCATTACTTTACTAAACCTTCAAATTATGCAAGCAGAATGTCCTGAATTTGATAAATATATATTCTAAATTTCATAAAAATTGAATTAGTAGTTATAATAATATTAAGATTCAAAGTTTAGTAACTATATAATTTTTAATATTAATTTTAATCAAAGTTTTATATAGTAAAATTTAAGAAATAATAATTTAAAAAGTTTATTATTAGTAAAATTTTTTTTATAAAAGATATATAATAAAAATTTTTATATTTAAATAAATTTCAATATCTAATAACTTAATTAAATAAGACAGAATTAAAAATTTTATTTTGAAAAAATAATCTATTAATATTTATTTGATATATCAATATTTTTGCAATAGATCATATAATATTATAATTATAATTTTATAAGAGAAATCTTACATTTTTCAAGATTTATTATCAAAGAAAATTTAAGCAGTTTAATAATAGAAACAGAAATAAATATTATAGAAAATAAAAAATATAACTTGAAACTTTTAATTAATTAAGATATTAGAATTATTTAAAAAGATATTATATTTTTTTTGAAATAAAAGAATAATTATTCAAAGAAAATTAATAATATAATTAAAGTTAATTATAATTTAAGAAGATTAAAAAAGAATTCATATATTCAAAAGTTTGAATAATTATTTTAAGCATTCAGAATTAATAAAAGAGAAAAAAAGAAAAAATTAATATTTAGATAAATTTATTTTATAAATTTATTTATAATAAAAAATTAAATATATAAAGATAATAAACTAAAAGAAAAATAATTTATTTTATTTTAATTTTAAATAGTTAGCTGGTATTAAGAAAGTTATTATTATTAATTATTTATTTATTAATAATTTTCTTTTATATTTTTTAAAAGATTTTTAATAAATATAGATTTTAAATTTCTTATTATAACAAACTGAAATTATTAGTTAATTTAAGATTCTTTATATTAAAATTTTCAAAAATTTATTGTAATTAAATATAATTTATTATTTATTTTTTTGTTAATTTATATATTTTTATTTGTATTTGTACTAAAAAAAGTGCTTCAAAGATATAATTTTAATATATAAATTTATATAAATTCTCAGATAAATATAATGGTAATTATAATTAATATAACAAAAAAAAATTAAAAATATTTTATAAAAATTAAAATATATTCTTTTTGTATTTATAATAATTTTACTTTTTAATAGTATTATTTTAATATATTAAGATTTTAATAGATATTATTATTTTTTATTTTTAGATAAATATGAAAATAGAATTAAACTTATATTATAATAAGTTTATTATATATTGTTATCATAAAACATAAAATTTCTTAATTCTCTAATCTTTTTTTGATTATGCAAAATCATATTTTTCTATAATTTTTATTTATTTTATAAATATTCTTATTTTCATATCATATATTACTATATTTATTATCATATTTCTATTTTTAAATACTAAATTTTATTTATATTCAAGATCTATATTTTTGTAATATGATATTTATATATATAGTAAAATAGTATAGTGAAAGATCATTTTTAATTTTGATGAAATGATTATATTTGAAATATTAATCACAAATATCTTTCCATATTTTTTAATATTCTCTCATATTCTTTAATATTCTTTCATATCTTTCAATATCTTTTCATATTCTTTCACATCTTTTCACATTCTTCAATATTTTTTAATATTCTTTAATATCTTTTAACATACTTTGATATATATATTTCTAATTATTTATATAATAATACTTTAATTATATTATATATATTAGTTAGTATTAGTTAGTAATATTATAATAATTTATATATTTGAAAAATATATAAAAGAATCTGCTATTCCAGCTTGAAATAAATAGTTTT